ACTTTCCATTCTTCTTTTCTACCACCACCACATTGGCTAGCCATCTAGGGAGCTTTACCTCTTTTATCATTCCCGTCTTGAGAAGTTTTTCAACTTCTTCTTGAATGATTTGGTTTCTTTCGGGTGAAAATTTCCTTCTTTTTTGATGTACAGGCTTAAAAGAAGGATATATAATGAGTTTGTGAGTTATAACTTCTTTATTTATACCTTTCATATCTTCATGTTTCCACGCGAAGGTTTATCGTCTATCTTTTAAGAACTCTATTAGGTCTTGCTCGATTTGTTATGGAATTGAGGATCCTATGAGGACTTTGGCTTTAGGATCCTCAAGGTTTAGGGAAACTTCTTTTATGTCTTACTCTCTTGCTTCAAGCACATATCTTGCCCTTTGATTTAATTAATATGTTGGTCGTGGTGTCGTTGAAGACTTTATCGAGGTCTTATAGCAATCTTTAGATTCTTCCTGATCACCAATGATCTTCGTTGTTCCCCCATGGGGTAGGCATCTTGATGCACTGGTGGTATGTTGATGGAACTGATTTCATGTCATGGATCCAGGGTCTACCTAATATAACATTATAGGAAGATAAAACATCAATTACACAAAAACGTTGCATAGAATTTACCTCCTCAATGTAGATGGGTAGCTTGATTTCTCCAATGGTGTGCTTTGTTTCACCACTGAATCCTATTAGGAAAGAGGATCTTTTTATTGTTTCAGATTCTGGGATGTTCATCCTGGTTAACGCGTCTAGAAGTATGATATTCACTGAGGATCCTCCGTCTACCAGGATCCTTATGACAATGTGATTGGCGATGTATAAAGTAATCACTAATCCATCGTGATGAGGATCCTAGATGTTTTCCTTATCTTGTTCATCGAAGATGATTTCCTTGATGTTTGTTATCGACATGTTCTTTCGGGGTCTTTCTTCCTTTTTCGTCTTGGATACTTTGGCGTGTCTTTTAGCTGCAGAATTAGAAGTTCCACAGATGTCAGATCCTATGGAAATAACATTGATTACCTTTGCGTACGAGGGAGGGGATCCTGGTTTATCTAGGATCTTCGTAGGATCTTGCTTTTTCTCTCTGAAACTTTCTTTTTTCCTTCCTAGGATCTATTTTAGATACCCCTTACTCAGGAGATAACTAATTTCCTTCCTGAGGGCTATGCAATCCTTAGTGTTGTGGCCAAAATCCTCATGACATGCACGCCACTTGTATTTGTCCTTCCAACCATTTGATTTCTCCCCTTTTCTTGGCCATCTCTCTTTACCTCCAAGATCCTGCATAGCGAATATTAGACCTGAAACATCCACAGAAAAGCAATATTCAGTAATCTTTGGAAATCCATCTTCCTTTCTTTCATCATCAAGGGCATTAACCCTATGATGGTCAGGTTTAGAATATGGTTTTGACTTATAGGATCTCTGGTCCGAGGATTCGGCCTTCCTGTTAGGATTATCATAGGTGTTTGGCGTGATGGCCCTCTTTTGTATTTCTTTGTCTTTTTCTAGTTTGATGAATCTCAGCGCTCTGCTTCTGACTTCATCCATTCGTTTGCATGGAGTCATCACAACGTCTTCGTAGAATGAATAATCCTTCTTTAGGCCCATCTTAAAGGCCTCCACGATAGTGGCCATGTCAATGTTCGGTTTGTTCAAGGCTTCCTTGCCAAACCTGCTTACAAAGTCCCTTAGGTATTCTTTGGGATCCTGCACCACTCGGTAAAGATCACTAGTGATCCTTTTGAATATCCTGCTACAAGAAAACTAATTATTAAAAAGGATAACTAAGTGAGCAACAAAGGTAACAGAGTAAAGAGGAACATTAAGGAGCCATTTTAAGGTTGATCCTGTAAGAGTCGAACCGAAGCCCTTGCATAAATAGGCATCCTTTAAGTATGGAGGAATGGGAATGATTTCCATTCTCTCTCTATATTGAATTATGTGTTCCTTAGGATCTGTGGTTTCATCGTAAGGCTTCATGCTGGGAGTTTGGAAGCGCTTTGGAACTTCAATGTCGACTATCTAGGGGATGAATCTTGAGAGCATGTGATTGGTGGGGGATACTTCTGGTATAGGTTGGACCACTCCTGGAATGCTCGAGGTCATCTGTCTGAGTTGCTGAATTTCATTAGCCATGACCGGACTTATTCTTGTATCAATGTTCACAGAGATAGTAAGAGTATTATTGTTAAAGAAGTCAACATCAGTTTTGTTATGAGGAGTAGTGAAAGTTTTGTCAAGATCATGGATCACAGGAGCTTGATTGGTTGGGGTTACACCCTAAGTCGAAACATACGCGGATCCTGGGGCTGTAGTCTTTGGGTGATCTTGTGTTGTTAAAGTTCAGGATCTTGGATTGCAAGATCGATGGTGCCACCCTCTTGGGGTTTATGGATCTTTTTCCCTTATCCTTTCCACCTCCTTGAGCAGTGTTATATTGTCTTCCTGTTGTTGAGTCACCTGCCGAATTAATGTATGCATCATGGAGAAGAGCTTGTTGTTAGAGATTAAAGCAGGAGGATCCTGGGATCCTGGATTCCCATAGCTAATAATTGGAGAAGCACTCTTCTTCGATGTGTCGGAAGTTTTCCTTTAACCAGGGGGTTCCGCTCGGAGGTGGTGGGAGATATTTCGAGGAAATGGTAGGAATAGAGGAAGAATATAGGGTTTGTTGTGTAGAGATGACTTTCTGGAGTTATGAACACCATGGCCCCACGGTGGGCACCAAATTGTTTTGGTTAGAAATCAATCAAATGAATATCAACCAAAGTGAATGAGAGATTGTGGTGTTATAGTTGAAATAAGTATCGAATCGAATTGAGAACAAAATCACACAAGGGGTTACAAGGAAAGCCATTTATCCTTGTTAGGATCTCCGGCATAAAACCTTGGGAGGTGATAATAATCACTTGCCTTGTTTAATTGTATTGATTGAAATGTGAGTTATAGAAATGGAAGTAAGTATGTGAATACAAATGTTGCAGTAAGTCTAGTTGTGTGTAGTATGCATAGTACATGTGTATTTATAGTCTAATCTAAGTAACTAAAAGTCCTATATTTCTGGGATCCTCTTGAATAAGTATAAGCACATTGGTTTGACTTGGTATTTTCGGGTCTTAAGCCTGATTGAAACATTTCTTCATTGAGAATGAGTCTTATGTTGACCATTTCTGCACATGTGAGAATGAGACTAGAAATATAGTCGTTAAATCTGTTAGGACATAATAATAATAATAATAATAATAAAAGCTAGGATCTTGAGGTTTCTTCAAGATCTGGGATCTAAGTATGATTGAGGATCTTGCCCTAACAAGTAACATGATGTTATAAAACGTAGTATCATGTATGATTTGGTGATTAAAGGTTATAGTTATGTAGTCAAAGTTTGTTCGTTCATTTTGCCTTATTAGAAAAAGCGATATTTTTGGGTCCCTCGGTGATTTGAGTTTATGTATGAAAACCAAGCACCTGGTCCGGACTAAATTGATGTGTTCGATTTTGTAGTCTAAATTGATCACAAATCGGGAAATCGGGAAACAAATAAATGAACATGAGGTTGATCATTTAATCCATGACTCGGTTTATACGATATCTTGTAAAACGAAGGAATGGCTGATCACTTATCTTAGAGTCAACGGTTTGATTTAAATTAGAGTTCGACAGTGGCTTTGGAAAGCACTCTTTGCTGTTTACTTCAAGGTCTATACTTGAAATTGTAGTTACAGACTTATCCAAGTGGGAGACTGTTAGATTAAGTTGTTTAAGCCAGTAACTAAATTGGTATATTCTTGTAACTGGAAGCAAAGTCCTTTTTAGGTTGCTCTCATAACTAGAACTTGCTTAGAATGACATTTATAAAGAGATTATGATTTATTAGATTATTATATAATTAATAAACTAATTGAAAATGATGAGGAAATTATTTATTAATATATTATATGATTAATATATTAATTGGAAATAGATAGTTGATTTATTAATTTATATGATCAATAAATTAATATGACATCAATTAGAATTGATTAATTATTAATCAGAATTAATCTTGAATTAAATCGGGATTAATTGGAATTAACTGAAGATGCAATTGGTGAATTGCAATTGTTCAATAGTTGAACAAAAGAGGTAATTTTAGAACCATCCTAGGGTGGACAGTTTTGGGAGCTCTTCTAGGGTTTCCAGAAGCCTCCTGGATGTTAATAATGAAAGGATTTGAATTGGAATTAAATCCATTATTTAATTATTCAAATCTTGCTTTGTCCCTAAGTTACCTAAACTATAAATAGGACTCATTGGGCATCAAGTTTCGTAAATACTCTTTCTTAGAAGCTTATGAACGAAATTTATACATCTCCTCAAGTGTCTTTTAGTTCTAGAGTTTGAGTGCGAGCCATCAGAGGCATCATCCTTTTGGTGCTAGCTTTCAAAGCTCTTCAAATGAAGGATTAAAGTAACTTGTTTGTTATAACAAGTTTGAGGTATGAATCTTTAGTTTCTAATTTTCGAAATTACTAGGATGCATATTAGATTTTGTTATTCAGAGTATGTTGCCTTAATGTGAAGACATATATCCTTTTAGTATGCATATGCCCTTACTTGTTAAGTGTTTTCCGCACATTTTGTTGTAACCTAATAGATCCATCAAGATTATGGTTTGATAATTGTTTGAGGTTCAATTCTTGTGGTATTGTAGTACATGTATTTATTTTTCGGTGGCGGATGGCAATGACTAATGGTGGCTGGTGTGGGAGACGGAGCGGGAGTGCAAGTGAGTTTAAATCAATTAATTTATTTCCTTTAATTAAAAAATAATAAAAAAGAAAAAAGAAAATATTAAAGATATTAATTTTAGACAAAAACTTAGGTCTTTTACACGGTAACAAAATCAAAACTTGAATACATGTCCAAATAAAAATAAGATAAAAAAAATAGAGACCAAACTACAAATTTTGGAATCTAAAAGAAGATTTCAATCATTTCACCTTTTCTTAAAGAAAAGGAAAAATTACTATACCTAATAACCCAAATCGTTCACTAAACAGCTCTCAACCTCTGATTCTCCCGATTTCCGACTCTCACAACGGTCTCATCACCGTTGGTCTCGGGCTATCATTGAAACACAGTCAGCCAATCACGAATCACGGATTTCTGTTTGACGCAGACGCCATCATGACTCTTAATCTCACACTCGACCTTCCAATTAGTTCTTCAGAATGGAAACAGAAGAAACCAGATTGAACTCTGAAATAAAAGAGAAAATTGTCCCCAGTTTTTCACATTTCATGGCAAGGTTAGTTTTGTTTTCACAAAAGGCATATTCATGCGTACATTTTTTTTAAAAAAAATTGTGTAATATAACACGTAGGGTTGCTAAATATGAGGAGCTAGTAGCTGCAGGGAATAGATTTCTTGATATCTTTCGTCAAACTCTTGGTGAATTTCTTCAATTTCTTGTTTTTTCTTAAACAGAATAAAAAAATTGAACTTTCCCTGATCTAAAATTACATAATTTTATGCAGATTTCATTCGAAGACCTTCTATTGATAACACATCACAACTCTTTGAAAATGTCATTAAAGCTAACAATAATGATAGGATGCAGTCTTACATTAAAGCTGGATATACACACACTTCTACTAGAGCTGAAAATCTCAACAAGTGTAAGTCATTTCTAAATAATTCAATGATTTTTGTTCATTGAAATATGTTTAATTGACTATTTTTGTTCTTGTTCATGAGCATATGGAAGGAAGTACATACGAACCAAATCCAATTGCGTTATAATAATGTGTGTATAGTTGGGGTTTAACATTTTTGATTTTGTTTGTAGGAAAAGATTGTTTATGCAATCAATCTAAAGACATCATCAGGAGAATTAGAGAAATTATGCACCAAGTTTGGAGACTAATTCCATAGCTCCTTTGATTACATTCTAAAGGTTATGTATGTTGGTAATGACGATCCTACCCTTTGTACACACCCCTGTTTCATCCTGTCCAATCAATAGCTTAACAATTAAGTATGCCATGGAAATTGTGAAAGGGTTAAGGTAATACTTTATTTAATATCTAACACAAAATAACAATATGACAGAAGGCAGAAGGCAGCATGCAAGTTTTTTTCGGAAATTGTCGAACAATATGACATCACAACAAGTGAGTATTCATTTGTTGATTTATATGTTTGGAACTTGTTCACCTTCATTGTCATATACACAAGTTGCAAAGATATAATTTGTTAGAAATAGTTGCAAAGATATAATTTGTTAGAAATAGAATAAGTCAATAAGGTATTTGATAGTAATAGAATTTGGATTTCTTATGGATTGTGTATGTTTATTTTCCGTATTTATATTTCTTCCATATGTTTGGGTTTTAATAAATTCATTTTGGAATAATCCTCATGGACACATTATGTTTTAGACACTAAACAAAAAGCACGTTACGGGAGAGTATAGGATTGTTCAAGACCTTGAGTGATGACCAAAATTAGCGAAATATGAGTTTTTGTACGCATCCATCTGATTTATGGATAATATCAAAGAAAATTGTGGTTTTAGCAATTGAAAAAAAAGTATCGAGAAAAATCATTGGACGGTTCGTGTTAGGGGTGAGCATTTGAACCTCTGGATCGGACCCGGAACCGGACCTGGACCGGTAAGCCTTAATAGGTCCGGTCCAAGGCCCACCAATTTCTACCTAACCGGTCTGGTCCAAGAGCCAGTACGGTTCGGTCGAAATGCTCACCCCTACGTCGTAATAGATAAACTAAATTTCGGTAGGGTTTTAACGGGTTGTACCGTATACACCTAAAGTTGTACCGGTCTCATGGGTACAAGAACCAGAAAACCTGGACCTGTTTGAGCCGGACCTGACCTGCTCAGTCCAAGATCCACCAATTTCTACCAAACCGGTCTAGTCCAAGATCCGGTCTGGTTCGGTCCAAATTCACACCCATAGTTCCAGTAGTGTGCCAACACATACCAAGACATGTATCACTTTTGAAGGGTATGATGAGGTTTTGCTAAAAGGGTAAATCGGGTCCAAAATATGTTGTACTATTCAAAATATTGAAGAAAATTAGATCACAAACTTTCAACCTTTCAAGCTTGATTTTGCCCTTAATACTTTTCATAAATGCTACTAAAGAAATGTCTTGGAAATGTTGATGATGTCACTCATTCCAAAGACTTGAAAGTTAAAGCTTCCAACAAATTGGAAGACTTGATAGTTACCTTGAATATATGGTTAAAAAGTTAGTATACATCACAGACAGATGCTTTCTATCTAGCATGTAATAATGTAATCGTGTATTCCTTTGGGGATGAAACATTATCAACTTCATGGTAACTATCTTCGGTGAAAAAAGCTGGTTGTTTAGGTGAAGGCAATGCCCCCTCACTAATCAGCATTAGAACTACTGACAACATAGTTGGTCTATCTTCTGCATGATGTTGCACACACAATAATCCAACATGTATTGATCGTAGTACTTCAGACATGACACAAGAGTCACGTAAACATGTGCTCACAAGTTCAATGGACTTGTCTTCTTTATATAGTCTCCATGCCTAAATAAATCCAAATATCAGAAAAATATGTTAGTGTATCTCACATTAGTACGACACAATTTTATAAATGGTTATATATGTTGGAATTCTCATTATCTCCACAAGGGCTATTTTGGAGAGTTAATATGGGGCTCCATATATATATTTACAAAATATAGTTATGGAATAAATAGTTTCTTGTCCTTTTTAGTCTATAAGATTAACTTACATGTCCAAGAAGGTTGTCACTGTGACCCTCATGAGAGAATCCTCGGTTTTTCTTCCCACTCACAATCTCCAACACAACAACACCGAAGCTAAATACATCTGACTTTATAGAGATACGCCCATGTACTGCATACTCCGGAGAAATGTATCCACTGCAACCAAATTTGTTTAATAAAAAAAAGATTCGTGGAATTTTGAATTCGCGTTCATTTGTATTGCACAATGTTTTATGGATTCTTACTGTGTTCCAAGGACCTTCTTTGTCTTAGCAATGGCATCTTGTCCTACAAACTTTCGAGCTAGGCCAAAGTCAGATATCTTTGGATTCATTTCACGATCCAACAAGATATTACCTGCCTTGAGATCTCTATGGATGATTTGAAGGCGTGAATCTTGATGTAGATAAAGAATACCCCGAGCTATACCATGGATAATGTGAAAGCGTTGAGGCCAATCAAGCATCGAACTTCTAGTTTCATCTGTGAAATACGAATTACTTAGTCTATGCATGTTGCTACAAGTGAGAAAGCAAGGCATTAGGAGTCAAACCAAATAGAAACGAGTCCAAGCTTTTGTGATCCATGTATTCATAAATTAGAATCCTTTCATTTCCATGAATGCAATATCCAAGGAGCTTCACAAGATTCCGATGCTGAAGTTTGGCAATACAAATGACTTCATTTTGGAACTCATCAAGTCCTTGTTGGGATGTTTCTGAGAGACGTTTTACAGCAACTACTCTCCCATTTTCCAACACACCCTACATATAAATATTGGAGCTAAGGATTCTAATATTACTTTGTTAATAAAGACATGTATTGCATTTTATTTCAAAAGAATCAGTAGGTTAATTACCTTGTAAACGGGACCAAAACCACCTTCTCCAATCTTGTTATCAATGTTAAAGTTATTGGTAGCCTCGGCTATTTTATGAAGGCTAAAAAAAGGTAGCTCATCAAGGTTTTCCATGTGAACACCCGTATGATCTCTATCCTTGCTTCCTACAAAAAAAACTCATCTTCAATTTCTCATGTTTACACGAATCTGCCAAAAATCATACTCTTAAAAACATTTAATTGGTAATGTTAAGTGTTAACTTGTTCATGTTTCATTTCTTGAAGAAGAATCAATCACTTGTTTTACCTCTTCCCATTTTATGAAGCCTTTTCATTCTCTTAATACATGCATATACTACTGCTGCAGCCAGAAGCAATGCAACTGATGAAACTGATAGCACCATGGCAAGTTCTCCCTTCTTGTTGAAGCTGAATTTCTCTTTTGCTAATGAATAAAATAATTAGTAAAGTTACAAATCAAAACGAATACATTCAACCTTTTACAATAAAATTTGTATACCTGATAACTCAGAGGCTGCCATTCTTATGTAAAGTTCTTGATGATCATCATCATATTCTCTAATATCCATAAGCTCATCAAACCAAAGCAAGCATCCACTTCCACCATTTCTGATATCTAAATGAGCATAAGCAGAACAAGAACAATTCATTCTACAAACCACCTCACATTCTCCAAGATTCATACTTTTGTTATACCATGAACCCCGTGTATCTGGAAAAATCACTCCTGAAATTTTATGAAACACATCCGAAGTCCTACAATCTAAATTATCTAATGGCTTTTTACGTTGACATCCATTTGACCAATCCCATGCATTCCATTCTTCAGGGACTTTTGGTTCAAAACCTTCCAAACAACTACAAGGAAGAGAACTTTTAATGCTACAGCTTCCAAAAGGACCACATGGTCCATAACGACTACAAGAATCAACTAACACATTCCCATACCCGACCCATTCTTGGGTTCTTTTAATCCACTGTAGCCTTCGTGCCATGCCATCCCACACCAAAACAAATCTTTGAATAGACGTTGTACTCTTAAGTTTATATGTATAATATATTTCTTTCTCATTGAGAACAAATTCTATGTAGAAAATTGGATTCATGTTGTCTACAGGAAGACCTTGAAACCCAATACCATTCCATGGTCCAATCCTGATCCACGTTTGAACATCTTGAGCTTCTCCCACAAAAATCTGTGGATATCCATTTGTGTCTACCCAAAATTTATGCAAACCTTTAGAAGGATCATTAGGGTTCTTCCATGATGTTAAGAACCACTCTCTTCCTGATATCAAATCCTTCCCTAGTTTCACTCCTGGAAGTAAAGTGTTACCAGGGTAATCAAAACTTTGCCAGATGAGTTTTTCTTTGTTTGTATATAACTCATCCCACACCACAAGATTTCCATTGTCTAAAAGCTGTGCAACGGGATTAATAACAGAAGATATAGTCAAGTTGGATGACCAGATGAGCGTATTGTTTCCACTTGATATCAGTAGGGTTCCTTCTTTAGTCATATGAAAGACACCAGATGTGTCGCTGATTGGTGTCTCCCTGTTGGCAACCCATACAACGGTAAAAGTTGATATCTTCTTGTACCATATTCCTAGGTAGCGATTCTTGGACTTTCCTGGGCTAAAAAACCCGAGTTCATACATCTCACCATGTGAAACAATGGTGTTTCCATCTTTGATTGGTTGGTTTATATGTACTCTATCTACTGCAGAAGAACATGACAAGATGAAGAATGTAAGACCGGAGAGCGACACAAGGATAATGCGATAAACCTCCATTGATGATGTGTTCTTGAAATGGTGGTAGACGTACTTTTGGTAGAAAATTTATAGTGTACTTTTGTTAGTCGACTCTTTTCAACCACGAAAGACTATTCAACTTCACATCAAATAAAATAGAAAACATACTTTGAAAATTAGCAACACATCTTTGACTTGATACCTCAGCTTTGAAAATTGACTTACACACATTTAAATATTTAAACGGGGAAATCTTCAGAAAAGTCTCAATATTTACGGAAAAGTTACACTTTAATCCTAAGATTTTTTTTTTTGAATGAAAAAGTCCTGAAAACCGGCAAAAATTTACAGTTTGACCATTTTTGACCGGTTGAAACCGGTACCAAATTAATTTGGGACTATTTCGTAAACTAATCCAAAATATTGGAACTTTTCTATAAACAAAAAATATTATGACTTTTCTGTAAACAAAAATATTATGACTTTTCTACAAACAAAACCCTTATTATTATTATTATTATTATTATTATTATTATTATTAGCATTATTATTATTATTATTATTATTATTATTATTATTATTATTATTCTAACTTAAACAATTTTATATACAAAGTGAGAAAGTCTTCTACCTTAAACTATTTATAAACAATTTTACAAAGATGCAACTTCTTTTAAATTGTTAAGTATTAATATTCTGAATTGAAAACAATAATAACAAATGTGAAATGACCATATACAAAGTAACAATATACAAACAGACATTCACGATTTCAATGCTAAAAGCATCATCATCTCCTCCACCCTTCACCCTTAAACAATGTCATTAATATTATTTATTCATTTAAATGCATTTATATGTATTAGTAACAATATTAATAATAACAAGGTCAAAAAATAGTATTCTTATTTATATTTTTAATAATAATAATAATAATAATAATAATAATAATAATAATAATAAGGATTTTGTTTGTAGAAAAGTCATAATATTTTTGTTTACAGAAAAGTCCTAATATTTTTTGTTTACAGAAAAGTCCCAATATTTTGGGTTAGTTTACGAAATAGTCCCAAATTAATTTGGTACCGGTTTCAACCGGTCAAAAAGGGTCAAACTGTAAATTTTTGCCGGTTTTCAAGACTTTTTCATTCAAAAAAAAAATCATGGGACTAAAGTGTAACTTTTTCGTAAATATTGGGACTTTTCTGAAGACTTCTCTTTAAATATGGAAATTAAATATGCTTGCTTATATTTTTTGTTTCTACTCATTTGCAACTTAATGATATATAGAATCTATTAAATCATAGTGATTAGGAAGTTGTTTTATTTCTATACACTAGGTGTAAAACCCATGTATTACATAGGTTCATTTAAAAAAAATTAAATATGAAATTCTAAACATTTAAAAGTTTGAATTTATAAGAAAATTCAAAAAATATTGAATTATTAAAATTAATGTGTTTTTTTCTTTTTTAAATTTAAACAAATAATTTAGATAAATAAACAAAGGAAACTAATGAGGTTTTAATTTATAAATTTTAAAATTAAAAGGAAAGTCAATTAATGAAATTGATATGCATTTATTATTACATTTATTATAATTATTATATTTAAATATTATGTGGAATTTGATAAAATGAAAAAAACCACATTTGAAAATTTTTAATTGGAAATAATCACAAAATAACATGTGGTCAAATCAATAAGACTGTGACATGTGGCAAAAAGATTTTCATTTATTAGAGTAGATTTCTAACTAATAATGATCCGTGGAATTTATTAAATCTTTTTCTTAATCCCCCTTCTTGTAAGTAGGAAGATGGATAAAAACAAAATATATAGGATATTTGATTTCTCTTTAGATATTTATGTTCATTACCATCGTTTATCCCTACAACTTCAGATTCAAAGCCAGGTTATTCTAAAATTTAGCCATGAAATATGAAAAGAATTTTATATAAATTTTGGTAAAAATACAAGGGAAATATAAAGAAAGAAACATATATTTTTCTTCGGCTAGCATTTTCGAAAAATTCTTTAGCTGAAAATGTTTGCTGAAAAAGATATTTTACATGACTAGAAAAACTTGAATCATCGAAGGACTACATTCTTCACTAACTATAACTATTACCTTTAAAATGAAAATTCACTACACATAACCAGGTATAACTATTACCTTTAAAATGAAAATTCACTGCATATAACCACGTATGATACAACTAGAAAATGGACTTTTAGCGACGGAATCAGCGATAGACGGCATCCCTAGCTACATTAGCGACAGATTTCATAGGGATCAGTGACGGAAATCAAATTAAGTGATAAATGAAGGAATTCGGATTTTAGGGACGGATCACCGACGGATTAGCTAGGGATTAGCGATAGGAATAATCCCTAGCTGATGTGCCCTTGATTGTAACCCTAAATCGGTCGTTGTTTTCTTTTTCCCTATTGCTTATTCCCGCTTTCTTTACCTTTTCCCTATTTCTTCCCTCCCAAATAGAGACAGCCAAACTCGAAACCCACGAAGAAGCTACGTCACTCCCATCGCCGGTAGTCCATCCTTCGTCGGCAGGTCCATCCGTCTCCGGCAGTACCGTCTCCGCCACTCCATAGTCGATTCTGTCAGGTAACCCTAGGTTATTCCGATTTCTTGGACCTGGTTCTTTTCTGTAATATGTGTGGTTGATTTCTTAGACTTAGTTCTCTTTGATTTCTTGAATATTTTGAATGCCTCGAAAATAACTTCTGAATACTTCAAACATGGATGTGAATACTTCAAAAATTGTTGTGAATGTTTCGAAAATGGCTGCTAAAATCTGGTAGTGTTTGTATATTTCTCTTATCCCTACACCTACTGGTTCCATGTAGTGGTATTAATGAGTTGTTTTCAATGTTAAATTTAAGGATGAATAACTAACGAATGTAAATGGTAGGATGCTCTGACCACTGGAACAAAATGAGAATAGGAAGGGAAATAAAGGATCACATTTTCTTCTTCTTCAATGTTAGCTCAAGAATTGTACATATGTTTTTGATGGGTGATTACATATGCCCTACAAAACAAGAGATGATGTAAAGCTCCACTTGTTACAATACGGGTTCATCGCTAATTATACAAATTGGTGGGCACATGGTGAAAAAACTAGAACACTTCAGCATGAGGTGCAACTGCCTAATCCTATGGAAGATGATGATTTTGATGGGTGCTTACATATGGTGATGGATGCAGTGGATTCTACTGATGATATGATCATTGATGCTGATGAACCTTTACAGGAAGGGTGTGCTTTTTTTCCCTATATTTAAAGATGCATATGTCATCCGATCAATCCCTTCTATACTGAAGACGATGTTTAATGGCCCATGGACCACATGGAAGGATGTTGATGCGATTAATAGTGAGACATTATGGCAACATTTTAAGGTTTGTACATAATATTATTTAGAATCCAATAGCACCAAATAATGTTTATAATTCTATACACCAAATCTTGTTTAATTGGTATATAACTAACTATATAAGTGATGTTTATGTAGGGACTGTATCAATGGGATCCTTATAAGTACACTGATGAAGTTATACACGATGCATGGAAGGAGGTCATGAAAAGTTGTTTTTCTGAGTCGATGACAAATGCACTGAAAGAATTTGTTATACTTGCTAAGGCGAAAAATGCCAATGCATTAGGTGATATATCACTTTTGAAACCATTTAACCCGAAGTGGATAAGATCAGAATATTGGGAAAAATGATTGATGAAGTTTGGAACACAGAAAAATGGAAACGTAAATCGGATTCAAGAAAGGAAAATAGAAGCAAAATGGAACACGGTTCAATTTCCAAACACTGTTGTGGTTCTATTCCAATTTCTCATCACAGGGACAAATTGGTAAGATATTTTTAAATTGTGTAGGTTGTCATTTTATTTCGAATTCTCAACATATGTTTTTGTTATTTGTTTCATTTTTTCAAAATTTTGTAGGAATCAGAGTTGAAGTGCCCACCTTCTCGCCTTGACCTGTTTAATAGAACACATCGCACCAAAAAACCGAAAGAAAGCACTTCAAACAATGACTATGTTACACCTAAACCTATGATGAGTGTGGTATTTTTTTTACTCTTTAATATAGCAATTAATTAAGTATGATGTTATATATTTAATCTTAATTGACACTATTGGGTTTATGATAAAATAGGATGAATATACGGAGGGTATAGTGGCTAAATATGGTGATGATATTGATAGCCATCCTCCGTATGATCATGAACTTTGGGTTAAAGTTACTGGAGGTATCAAGAAATGAAGAGTACTTAGATTTGGCTCAGTTTCTAATTCACACAAGTTTATGGTGCCTTCTCAAGCAACCCTAAGTACAAGTACAAGTCCAGACAATGTAGAGGTTTGTTTTTACTTTTCACTATCTAACTACTTTACTATAAACACCTCTAGCTGTTGGATGAGGTAATGAAGAATGAGCAAGTGAAAAAGACAAATACATATCTCCTAGGTACACTTTTTCTTATTTTTAATAAATTTTATGCAAAAGATATATTATCTATTTGTTTTGCAGATTTTAGTTTTATGACAATTGACTTCAATAGGTTTTCTTATTTTTAATAAATTTTATGCAAAAGATATATTATCTATTTGTTTTGCAGATTTTAGTTTTATGACAATTCAATTCAATAGGAAGTACTAAATATGCTTTGAAAGGTATAGATAAATTTTGATTTTTATTATGAAAGATGATTTTCGTAATTTAACATTTTATAATGTCGTGTCCCAATCACACCAAACATTATATAAATTATATATGTTTAATTATGTCCAGTAATATCGTCAAGTTCCGTCCAACCATGTTCATACATCAAACGCTACCTAAAGGCTTACAAGGGGCTTATATGTAGGGAGAAACTAAATTTAATAGGTACGGCCAAATTATTATTAAAATTAATATTAGTAACGTAATGACCAATAATCGATATAATGCTACTAGCTAATGTGGGAATAGCCACTTGGTAGAGGCTTTACCTCTTAGATTGGAGGTCTCAAGTTATATATATATATATATATATATATATATATATATATATATATATATATATATATATAGTCACAACTAGAAGTTTCAAGCCCAAAACCAAGTCAAAGTAGTCCCGTGTGTATAATAATTATAACTATATTACTATTATGATATGTGTAATATAAATTTTGGGAATTATATTGCCTTAAGCTCTAATGAGAAATACAAACAATTAAGAGATTCAAGTTACGTCAAACTAGGGAAAACATCAACACAAAAATCAATATGTATATTAGAGTTCATGCACATCTAGACCATGAACACTTCCCTAGGAAGCACCCAAGACCGTGAACAACTTTCAAGGGGCCACTTTGGCCGTGAACTACCTCAAACCACCAAGGGTGGATCGTGAACACCATTTGAGGAAGGAAACATGACCATGAACACCATCCTAGGCAACCTTTAGGCCGTAAACACCATGGGGGACCACCATTTGGCCGTAAACCCTTAGGAGACCCCCCTAAGCGTAAACCTTGGTGAAAACTCATTTAGACCATGAACCCTTTTCAATTCAAATGTGTTTACGGATTGTGAGTTGTAATAGGTTAATTTCCAATGCAAATCTCAGTAATCTATGCATTACCCACCAGTTATCCAAGCATATATTAAATCAATTTCTCTATTCCATATGAAGGGGCGTAAACCCCATTTCTCAATTCACAAACTCATTTCACTTTCTGTGAAATCTCCGTGAACTTTCCCAAGAATTCAAGCCAAATTCCAGAAGCCATTTCCTCACAATCTCTTCTAAGTTCCTGTAAGTTAATTCATGTCTAGTAAATGTTTCATACATTTAGTTGTTTGAATTCTTCTACTCACATATAATTTTATGTGTTAATAACCTTAGGCTAGCAAAAATCCTCAAGAGATTCATCCAACACTTCAAGTGTTCTAGGCTCAAATATCTCACCTCGTCTCTTTAACCACACCTTCTTCTACCCAAGGTGAGCTTCATACCCCTATTTTTGAGTTTTCACTATTTTGGGGGAGGATACAAGTCAAAGGTCTTGTGAAATCTTGGTATAATTGCTTGTCTATACATGTATGTTATGTTGTATGTGTTTGAAGTTATGAAACTCCTTATAAGAAGTCCAAAAACTCGAGATTTTTGGTTAAGTCTCAAGAGTTTGGACTATATTTCACATATTATTTGTTGATTAGAAATAAAAACTAGTGTTTATATGAACTATGATTCATAAAACCTTATGTCAAGAATCACAAGGATTTTCTCAAAGAAATTACTCAAACAAGTTGTGGGACACAATATTTTTGAAGATGTTAAATTATGAAAATATTAATGTCCTGGACCATTTTCGGCCAAATATTTATATATAAGGATCATTTTTAGAACATGGGATAAATTTGAGTAATTATTGAACATTTCGATTTAAAATGGACCAGAAATGGAATTATTTGATAAATAAGGGCCATTTTGAACATTTTCTTAAATATGAGTCTAGAATGAGCATTTTAGAAGAAATTGGCCATTTTCAACAATTCTCGTATTTTTGGATCACTCATGACACTTTTTGACAAATGTGGGTCTTATTTGATAATTTATAAAAGAATGGCCATTTTTGCTAACATCAACAATATTGAGTCATTTTTGATAAATATGATTCAAAGTGGATTATTTTTAGTAAACGAAACGAAACACCTAGTCAACGAGCACAACTAAGGTTATGAAACGAAACGAAACACCTAGTCAACGAGCACAACTAAGGTTATGAAATGAAACGAAACACCTAGTCAACGAGCACAACTAAGGTTATGAAACGAAACGAAACATCTAGTTAACGAGTACAACTATTGTTATTTATTAAATAAATAACGGATTTCAACTATTTGCGTAAATATCGGCTAGTATTCTAGTCAGACGCATCTTCACTGTACCTATATAATAGTGTATGTTTAAAGTTCTGTAAGGGTTATAACCAGAGTCTCCTGGAGGGAGAGCTGGAATTTGTGTATAGATCTATACGGGGTTGACACCTCGCATCTTCGATGTTCGCTACAGCTAGACCGGCCAGTCTAGGGTGACAAATGTCTTCAACAAAACCGACGCCTGAAAAACATATAGACAGGCGCTCCGTCATATTAGTATGGTTATAACGACTCACTTAGAATATAACAAAACATATTTACGCGGATTACACCTTTTGTTTATAATCAACTATGGTTTGGTTACCTCAAATGAAATTTTACCACACAAGTCTTAGGGTTTTAAGACTGCTATTTTTGTATATCAGAAAATATAAGATTTTCTGGGGAAAAATGAATTTTATACGATTTTCGAAAAGTTATAACTAAAACACACACGTAGTTATACTTGATTGGAAACAAGACTTACAACTATTTTGACAAGAAAATATTGGATTTTCTGGGTTTCTAAACTATCGCAACTTTTATGTAAAAGTGCTTATGAACTCACCAACATATTATATGTTGACGCTTTTCAAACGACTTGTATTCTCAGGAAATCAGTAAACAATTTTATGGATCGCGGATTCCGGATTATTTTGCTGTAGATGGAATTTACTTACTAATGTCTCTTTTGTGTAATTTGAGAACAAATACATGATGTAAACACAATGTAAGTTTGTTATCTTAATGTATGATGTTTGGATTTGCTATGTTTCATTTATATTTAATTGTTATGGTACTGCACAATGACGTCACCCGCCTCCGGACGTTTCCGCCGTTCTGCTCCGGGGGTGTGACATATATATATATATATATATATATATATATATATATATATATATATATATATATATATATATATATATATATATATAGAGAGAGAGAGAGAGAGAGGGGAGGAGGAGGAGGAGGAAGGATCAGTTGAGAATTTATAGTTTCCCGAAAACCGGAGAACTAAAAGTGGAACGTTAGATCAAATTTTCCGATGGCTAAGATCAACGATGGCATATTTGTAATTGTTAGCAAATTGGATGGTATATGATGACTTTTGTATAGGTTCATAAGGGTAAATCCGTCACAAAAACTAATAATCCTAATAATCAAATTAATTAAATACAACTAAAAAAGAAAACAATTCCTAAAGTATCTCACTTATTTGTCATTTTTTTACACGTCCCTTCTCTTTCTCTCTCTCTCTCACACACACACGTCTTCATTGTTCCGCCTTCGATACAACCACTGTCGTTTCCTTCCTTACTCCCGCCGTCGCCTCACCTCCGGATGGTGATTGTTCCTCCGCCTTCATCTTCGTCTCCTTCCTTCGATTTCCATATTTGGAGCTATTGTTCCTCATAGATCTCATCTCCAGCAATTTTTGAATCCACAGACTCCGCTATTCCTCAGTTCCGTCTAGATCTAGAATTAATCATCTTCCGTCATCAATCTTGCATCTCCGTCTAATTTTGTTTTCACCGCCTCCATGTCTCGACAACTCCATCTAGATCTGGAATTGTTACACCGTTCATTCATTGATAACCTATCTCTGTCTTCTCGCCATTGGTGGCCAACGCTATATGAGGAAAACGTGAACAATTTAATTTGACAATATCGGAATCAGATGGGTCAAAATTGCAAAACATAAGCTTAAAAGTGAAGAAGTGACGCTTACGGAAATATCTTATTAATCATGTAAGTATGTATGGTTAATACCTTTACCTGAATAATGTTTACTTTTTCAATATGTAATGATAACACTCTTCTTTAAGCTATAAATCACCATTATTAATGATAATTGTAGATATGATTTTACAATTTTTAAAACTCACGGTTATGTTGCATGTGTTAATATTTATACTCTGTAATGTTTTGTGACTAGTTTAAAGTTCAAATATGATAAACTTTAATTACTCAGTGAGTTTTATTCAAGTTCACTGCAAATTTTTTTGTTATTCGCCATTGTTTTAAGTTGATATTAGAATATAAGTTAGTTTATAATGTGTATAAGTTTGTTTATTGTGTTTTCTCAAATTAAAAATCAATCTCCTATGTTTATGTGTTCATGATTTTTGTCACAACTCGAAATTTTTAGATCAAGTAAAGCCTAAACTCTAACAAAGTACAAGTGAAGCCACATTGCAATCATTGTTGCATGGTGCCCTCTGTATAGCCTTAGGGCTTGTTTATAGAGCTAACAAAGGAGTAGGAATTGAAACCTAAGCTAAGTTAGGAATGTATAATACAACACTTGGCAAAAGATGAGGATTTAAACCATAAATAACACACCATGTGTGTTTACG